GCACATTGCCAAGAAATAACAATTGAACAATTAAGGCACAAAGCAAAGAGGGTTTAGCAAATCATGAACTGTTTTTAGTTTGCCTCATTAAGCTGGTGTTAACTACTTAAAACCATCTGTTTAAAAATAATTTACACATCTTAAATTTGCTCTAGAGAGCAGGTAGACCTTTGTTAGAGCAGGTTTGGTTATTAATGTTATCTTTAGGGGGCTTTCAGTTGTTGTGGTAAATATTTTATTGCTCACTGAAGCAAACTTTCCCTATAAACAAAAGGAAGTGGCACATGTTTGTAACTTGCAGTCTGCTGCCGTAACCATGTTCTTGGGAACCATTGCCGTTCATTTTGAAACTGGCTTGCTGTGGAGGAAGTTATTTACAGCCATTAGGTGTATCTGGGTACCAGAAAGGAGAATGGGCTGTGTGAATGCCTGGTATCCTTGTTATCTACTGCCATCCCGAAAAATGAGTCCTGGAGAGGAAGAACAGCCAGATAGTCACAGTGCCTCAACTGTAATTGAGGAGGGGGAACCCTGCTGCCTATGCCCTGAAGAGCTAGCTGACGAAAAACAAGTTTATTTGTCTCCCCAGATTTGTAAAGGAACACCAGAGAGGCACAGACTCCCCCTCCTATCTCAAGCTGAAATTCATTGTCATTTCAGTTAGATAGCATGTACGCTCCTTTCTGACCTGCTGTATATTTCTGTAGTTTGCTGTGAAATTGTCCTGGTTCTCGTCAGAGGAGACTGTTTCAGCAGCGAGCTAATGGATTGCTGATACAAATAAGATCATTTGGAGTGAAACTAGCTTTGGAAATACTAGATAACAATGGTGTGAGAATTTAAAAGAAGGTCCTCCACTCAGTCTGTGGAAAGAAAGAGTTGGATGTGATTTTTGGAATATTAGCTGAGACACAATTATTTGACTAAATCTAGATCTTCTTTTATCAATAAATTAAAAACTCGTTAAAATATTGCTATGAAATTGATTGTTGTTTTTTCAATTGCATGCTGTTTATTAAGAAGAAAAATGCCAATATTTAACAGGATGTAAATCTTTTGAAGTATCTGAGCAAAAATGTTGCTATGAACTGTAAATGTCATTGTCTTTCTATTAAGATATTATTTAGCTCTTTCTGGCAAGGAGGAAGCCTACAAACCAGACAGACTGGCTGCGCAGGTTTGCACACAACATGCTTTCAAGGATGTGACAAACCAGAAAATGTGACAAACCAGAAAAAATACAGAGCTTTTTGGAATTGCTTTTGGTTGCAATAGTTGAAGGTATTCTTTGCAACTGCAGCTACTATGTCTTTTAGTTTAAAATAAGACTTCCCAAGGAATTCTTGACTGGAATCCTTTTATGTTTGCCCAGTCATCTGGGCCTAGATTTGAAAAAATGGGAAATGAAGAAAATATCTTAATTTGTCTTGATTGGAAGGAATGAATGTTCTAAAAATGTATACGTGTCATTGAACAGAATATGTGGCTTCTGCCATATTTGATATGCCCTCATACTTCTGTTCTCTTTGCTATATTTGTCTTAATCTGGAAAGAATTTTACTTCAGGATTTCACTGTGAAACACTTCTTCACATTAAAAACCTTTAAATGACATAGACCTGATTAAATAATTCTTGTAGATCAAATATGTGAAAAATCAATTTTTAAATTTGCAAAATACTTTTAAACATTTTAAATGTAATACTTACCTTCACAGCTGTCTACTGAAGAGTACCCAGTGCCAAGATGCCGTTGTAAACTGGGTTATTCAAATCACAAGTTATTCCTTTTTAGTACTCTGGATTGACATGCAAGGTTAGGGCTGATTGAAAAACTGAAAAATATTTTACGTGCAAAACATTTTTATGAGCAAAACGTTTTGAGTTGAGCTGAGTTAAATCTCTGAATTCATCTAGGCTGTAGCTCAAATAGCAGGAGAGAGTGATAACTACCGTGGACCTTCTGATGATAAGTTTGGGTAGGGAGCTTTGTTTATAGGAGAGAATGATATGTGATGACCTAAATCTACAGTTTTCACCAACTGTATTTGCTAAGGAATCTTGAAAAACATTTCTTTAGCATTTCCACTCTAGGTGAAAGTAAGTTGTCAAAGTCCTGTAATCTGTCACAAAAAGTGTTTTAATTTTCAGTCAATTCTAATTGTAGTCCTTACACAAAATGCACCAAATTCTGCTTTAGCAACACCTTCTGACACTAGCAGAAGACCTGAAGAAGATCTCGCCAGGGTGCAGTTAATGCAGCTGTAGAAGTTGGAAAACTTGCTGTGCTTAAACCTCAGTTCAGCTGCTGTGGTTGCCTCCTTTTCCCTTCCACCCTCTTTTGGCAATCTTTTGCAGATGAGGAGGGGTCAGGGAAGTAAAGACAGCTGTATCTCAATGCAGTCTCCTCCCTTGAAGTACCACTTCCCTTTTGTGTGAAAGATACCTGTCTGTGATGTCTTATCACGGGTGACCACCTAAAGTAGTTCATCTGTCCTTTTCATGCTGCCAAAGAGAAGGAACAGAGTCAGTTTGCCCTTTCTGTCAGGCCTACCTTCTGGTCCAGCTGTGAAAGGCATCAGCTGGGGAGTGGAGGAGCCCACTGTTTAATGAGAGGGTAGCCTGAAAAACTCCTAGTAGTTTAAGAGTTCGATTGAGGTATGCAAAACAGGAATGAAGAAGACACTGCTGCTGGGAGCTGCAAGGCTCTCAGCCCTTAGCCTTATGATGTTTGCTTCTCACTTGTGGAGTGGGAGGAGGATCTGTATCTGAGAGGCTTGCACAGCTGTGTTCTCTGAACGCATGAGTAAAGTGCAAAAAAGGCTGTCTAGGGGATGGCTCTGAGTCCTGTGTGTCCCAATGCTACTGGTTCCTGTGTTCCCTGTACTTTCATCTAAGATGAGAAGTAATGTGGAGGAGGAGAAGAGCTGCTGACAGGAGAGAAAGACAGTTCTCAAATGATTGCCTGAAGAAATAGACGTGAAACGGGGCGTGTTTCTGATAATTGACTTTGAAAACTCACCTGGAAGGAGGATTTCTTTGTTTAGGAAATAAACTTTTTCCATGCATCTTCCTGCTCTTTCATTCCCCGAAGCGAGCTGGAGCTGCTACAAGACAAACCCTGCTGAGGGGGATATTCAGCAGCCCTGTCCTGGGGGGGACTGAGTGCCTCTCTCAGAGGAATCTGGGAGAGGAGCAGCACTGGCTCAAGTGGCAGAGCTCAGCTGGGGAGGAGGCGGCAGCTTAACAGAAGTAGTTTTAAACCATATCTCTTGTGAAGACAGTCCCTGAGTAGCGCTGACATGAGTCTTAACTTCAAAGTCTTGGGATGGTTTGTATAATTTTTTCCAAAAAACACAGACCCTTAGTTCTTATGTCTACGTGACAATGTAATTGTGCATTGAAGGAGTAATTTCTAGCCCTTGCGTTTGGGAAGGAAGTGGCTTGTGACCTGAATGCCCTCTTACAGCTCAGAGCTAGAAAACTTACGAAAACTCATTGTTTGTAGTTAAATCACTGAGTAGCTGGGTGTGAAAAGGCTGTCTAGGAGATACTGAGATCTAAGAGAAAGGCATGAAGTAATTTGCTCCAAACTCACAACCTGAAACCAAATGGGAAAGCTACAGGCTTTCCACTTGCTCCTTCCTTTGTTTAGAAATCCATTGGCAAGTAGCAGAGTCAGGAGGCAGCTAGAAGAGTTAGGATAGAAGCATCTACCAGCTCTAACCTCCTACTCACATCTTCAGAGACAAGCAGACATGCTGGGGCAGGACGGTGCTTGGAGGAAGAAGGAGCAGAAGGAGAGCGCCAGCCTCTCTTTGACACCTTTATCCTAAAAAGACTGTGAATAATACCACTTTTTTGAGGTACTTTGGGAAAGGAAGTATCATATCTTTTCTTTTTTTCACCCAGTAAAAGGGAACTATAATAGCCATGCTTAAGGGCAGTGAATTTCTGGCATTGTGACAAACTTGATCTTAAACATTTCCTTCAGCAGACTAAGACTGTTTTGGTCCCAGCATTTTGGGAGCTGTAATGTTGGGAAAGAAAAGGTTATGGGCTGTTCTGGTTGGAAATGAAATCTCCAAGGGTGTATTGCTTTCTGAATGAATGGTGTACTGAGGGAGTGCTTGCTGTGGTTGGAACAGGAGCTCCAAGACTGAGTCAGACCATTAGTAGGCTTTTTGTGGGGATGTATGATAGTTCACGCGAAGAGAAACATAGGTAGTTCTCATGTGGTCTGTCAGCACAGAACAACGATGACAGTACTTATGAAAGGCAACCTCTGCAAGAAAAAAAAAAAAACAAAAAAAAGGTGACGAAAAGGAAATCTGTGTGTTAGGAGGGCCAGCTTATGTGGTGGTGGATTCTAATAGTCAAGCATCCTTACCCTGTGGCACATGGCGTGGCTCTGCACGGCTGCTCAGGCGTAGTGGAACAGAGCAGGGCTTGTGCTGTACGCTGCACAGGCAATTTGCCTCCCTTGTGACTGAAACAATTTAAATAAGAACATTTACTTCGAGGAATTCATTATTCTGTTAAGTAACTATCTTGTTGGAAATAAAAATCTCATGGGAATATTGGATTCTGTGTAGTTCATGGTAGTTCATAGCCAGCCACGTGACCTGGTTGCATCCTGAATACAGAGATCTTATGGGGTTTTATATATACCTTTTTACATATATTAAAAAAAAATTAAAAACCCCAAATCCTAGTAGCAAAACAATTAGGTTCTGTGAAATGAAGTAGAAACAAAGGTTAAATTATATTTTTGATGTGAGGGATAGCCTGTGCAGAATGACAAATGGTAAACACATACAGCAGGTTCCATGCCTATGAAGTAAGTTTGGAGGGGGTAGAGGGTACAGTGCAGCTTTGTCCTTTTGAACAGGCTTAAAGTATTGATCAGTAGACCTTAAAAACGTAAGTTTATATTTTGAATAAATTTAAGGTGCTATTATATAACAGCTTCAACTTTTTTTTTCCTCTTTCTCTCCTACAGATCACACATCCGTGGGCGGGCTGGGAGACAGTTTTTATGAATATTTATTGAAAGCCTGGCTTATGTCAGACAAGATGGACACGGAGGCAAGGAAAATGTACGACGATGCAATTGAGGTGATTATAATTCATTGAGTTTTCCAGTACAGTGGAAATTAAATACCATCTTTAATACTCACCAACCCCCCCCCCCAAAAAAAAAAAAAAAAAACCCAACCAAACAAAAAACCCACAAAAACCCAACACCATCAAGACTTGTTTTGATTATGTAAGTTTTAAGAAATCAAGTAGTGAGTAATACTAGCTTTCACTCTGAGTGGTTTAAAAAGTATTATTGTGGAATACATCTGATGCAGATTATTGTGCTAAAAATAATCAGCTTGTCCAAAATGGTATAATGTAAAAGCCCAAGCTATAGTTTATTAGAAAGAGATCTAACAGCCTTAAGATGTATGCAGAACAAACAAATCACTTTTCTCCAGTGTTCAGAATCATTCTAGGAGTTGTAGTCCTGAATTTTTTTATTCTTTAAATTATTTTCTAATTTTCTAAACATTTAGATGTTAGGTTCCATATTTATCTTGTAAAATGTAGTTCATACTTATTCCTTGCTCTGTGGTTCTTTTGTGATATGCTCTTGTTCCCTCTCACAGATCAAGTAGCACTTGCCCAAGCAGGGCAGTACTGTAGGATGGTTCAGTGGGAGTGGGCTTTTTGTGGTGGCTTGGAGCTTTATGCTGCCCAGCTCTTATCTTAGTTTTCCCATACACGGGCATCTTCTTTTATCAGGCTTGCTTGTGCACATATATGCCGACATGCCTATGCTACAGTTAAGACACATAGAGAGTAGCTAAGCTAGTTTTAGTCAAGTGAGCTGTGGTGCCAACAGCAGCAGGGACCCTGTAGTCTTGTCCAAGTGCAGATATGTGCTTGGTGCCTAACTTGTTCCATGTTCTGTGCGTGCCTTTTTTCTTTCAACACAAGCATTTAAAGCTTGGTTTTAGTGCCGTCAATCTCCTAAAGCAAAACACCTGTTCTTGCAGTTCTCAAAATTCAGGTTTTAAAAGATATATAATGAAAGTTTCTAGTCCAAAATTGCTTTGAAGCTGTAATGTGTCTTATTACTGACCTGAATTTGATTACATTTGGCTTTCAGCTACTTGAACTTTTTCCTTCCTTACCTTGTTTTAAAGGGTTATTTACATCATATAGCTGATTACTAACAAAGGTATGATAGGCTTTCTCTCCTGTTGGGCAAATGCATTATTTTCTTTAGTCTCACAATATAAAACAGATTTTGAATTATTTCTTAAGCTTTTTTCTAAGCAGTTTCCCATGTTTTCAGTATGGAGGCAAGAATGTAACAGTTCCTCTAATATGTCATCACCTGATTTCTTCTCAGCATTCTCCTCTTCATCCAGCCAAGAGCTGTGTTTGCACTCTTAACCTTTGCCTTCCAGTCATCCACTTTCCAGTTGGTTTTACTCTGAAGTTGATAATAGTCTTTTTGATTTACTGCCTTCCTACTACTGTGATTTACATTCCCGATGCCTTGATATGTGACCTTATACTTATCTCTATTAAAACACAATTGTTCAAGCAAAACCCATTTTGTCACCTATTCTGAATGATTTTACAGGACTGACTTTTCCTTTATCACTATCTATAGTGCCATGAATTTTTGTGTCATCTGCAAATTTTTTTTTAGCATTTGTTTCTTGCAGATCATTGGTAGAAATGCTGCCTAGCATTGAATAAAAGTGTCTTTGCAGAATCTTCACAGGATGAGGATTTTTCTCAATTTTTTGTTTTACTTTGAACTGTTCTAGCAAGCCAACTTTCAATCCACTTCATATGTGCTGCCTTGAATTTGTTTAGGACTAATATTTTGTACAGTACCAAGGAAATTCCTGAAATTCCTAATATTTGTAATATCAGCATGCACTTGTCAATCAAACATTCAATTTTTGAAACCACATTATTCATTTTATATGATTGTTTTATTAACCTTTTGAAATACTGTTAAAGCATCAGCTATTTCCCAGTCGTTTTGAACTTCCTTAGCTTTCCAGGGTTTGCTAAAGTCAACATTAGTAGTTCAAGACATTAGTTGAGTACTTTTAGTAGTCTAAAATCCAGTTAATTGCATCCGGTGTGTTGAAAAATGTTTAGCAGTTGATGTTTAACATCCATTCTGGTTAATGTTGAAATATTTTATTCTGATTCCTAAACTTTGAGCGCTTGAAAATTAGGGGAAATACTTTCCCTTTCATTCTCTTCATTGTAAGCCCATTCTTGCAAACATTTTGTATGGGCAAATCTGTGTCTCTGAATGGAGACACAGCAAAGCAAATTTGGGAACAGATGAAAACACATCGTGGATAGGAGAGAGAAAGGGCTGAGCTGCTCCCACCTCATGTGTGATGTGACCTGCGCTGCAAACATCAGGTGGCTTCCTCTTCGGCTTTCTGTCAGCTAAACCCACCCATGTACATTTGACTCTGCGTGAACTGTACTGAGCTGTGCATTGTGGAATATCCTTCTGGTTCAGGTTTTGTGTTTATCCCAGGTCCTACTTGACATTGAAAGACATGGGCGAAGAGTCAGTGAGTGGGTTTTGTTTTACATAATTGCAATTTGAATTTTTAGTTAAAATCTGAAAAATATTTTTAAGAGCTCGTTCCCTTACCATTCTTTTGTTGTTGGCTGTAACATAGGTCTTCCTCCACAGCTGACACTTCTTACTCTGTTTTTCAAAACTTGGAGCAAAAGCTCTTTGTGTCATTTATGCAGGCAGAAGGAGAAGGGTGTAAAATACATTCTTCCCACTCATAGCATGGAGTTGGAAATGTTCTCAGCACCCACCAGTCTAAAAGAAGGTCTCTGTCCAGCCATACTTCACTCCCTTAGCTCATTACAGGGAGGAGAGTGGAAGATAGACAACCATACCCTCGCTCTCAAGTCTTGCAGTAGGCAGTTATATCCCATTCCTTGGAGGTATTAAGGGAGAGAAAGATGACAGCATCTGTTCTTCAGATGTCATGATTTCCAGTCCATGGCATATGAACCCTTACCCAGGTCACCATATACTTCATAACAGGAGTACGAACAAGTTTGTATCTGTGACCTCTCCGTGCTATATAACATTAGTGCAATCTTCCACTATAAAGGACATTTCATTTCAATGTCTGAGTATGTAGATTCACAACTGTGATAAAAGCTGAAACTGTGAAATTTGTTCAGAATTTTTTATGGTGATAAATATTGAGGATGAGCCTCTTAACTGCTTTCAGCATCGTCATGTGGACCTCCCAGCTAGTCTGGTTTAAAGTGTCTTTTCTCCTTATCACATCAGCTGGAGGATAGGGAAGCTTCTTTTTGATCTGTAGCCTTGAGCAGTCTAATCTGTTATGCTCGCAGATTTGATCCTTGCTCTTTCTTATTGCACAGTATGAGGTAGCTAAAAGAAGGATTCAGTGTGTTTGACTATCACAACATAGCAAGTACTGCTGCAGGACAGCTCAGAAAATGCTATTTTTTGACGTCATAAAAATCACAGAAAGCATGAACATCAGATAGAGAACATTCTGTTTTCACATCTCAGTCTATTGTTTCGGGAATCTTCTTCCATCAGTTAATCTCTTAATTGATGTGAACTAAGTCTTTTCTTTGGGAGCTTAAGTATGCATGTCCACTCTAGTGCATGTATACTCCTCGTGGCCCAGCTGGATGTCATTGCTTCACAGTACCTATTGGAGCGTTCTGTGGCCCCAGGCATCCAGCCCAGCATACAAAGGTCACATCAGTCCCAACCTGCTCAAGCTGTTCTTGTCCACTAGGCAGTGCTCCCAGCAATGCTCAGCTGTTCCTTTTTAATTACTGTAAATATTAATTGTCCTTTTTATACAGGTAACAAGCAGTGGGTTGTTGAATGATAAAGTATTTTGAGAGGGTTGCATTTCTTTTTGGGGATGCTTCCTTTGTGACTCTTAAGATGTAACTTAATAATTAAGTAGCTGATAGCATTTGATTTTCAGATTTCAAAAACTACCCCTTAGAAAAGACAGTGATGTTCAAGTTCAAGAGATGTGTTCTCTGTTCAGAAGAGGGACACGTTGAACCTAGATGATGTTCTTCAGTCAAACCCTGAAAGCAAGTCTAGAGGGAAGGACTAGCTCATGGAAAAGTGCATAAATTCAGCCTTTGCTGGCTGTCCTGGTGCCAACCATAGCAAATTTGCTGACCTGGAAACGCTTCTGCAACCATTTACTCCTTGATAGTTAGGAAATTACAAGAAGATACAATTCAAAAGGGAATTTCACACAACATTTGTAAAAAAAAAAAAGTTTTCCTCCAGGAAATAAATAATCCAGACCCTTTTAAGCCTTCTTGCTCTTCATAGTAAAAGTGGCTTTCCTTTAAAAAAGACTCCTCAACTTTTATGTACCACATGGTCAAAAAAAATCCTATAATCATAGAATCATGAAATCATTATGGTTGGAAGAGACCTCAAA